GGGTATCAGAGCTAAAGGCGTGGATTTTTTAAAGAATATTTTGGGAGGGGTATCAGAGCTAAAGGCGTGGATTTTTTAAAGAATATTTTGGGAGGGGTATCAGAGCTACAACCGTGGATTTTTTAAAGAATATTTTGGGAGGGGTATCAGAGCTACAGGCGTGGATTTTTTTAAAGACTATTTTGGGAGGAGTATCAGAGCTACAGGCGTGGATTTTTTAAAGAATATTTTGGGAGGGGTATCAGAGCTACACGCGTGGATTTTTTAAAGACTATTTTTAAAAGAACTATGAGAACTATCAGAGCTACTGACGTGATTTTTTGTAGAATATTTTTAGGGGGTTATCGAAACTACAGGCGTAGACTTTTTAAAGGATATATTTAGAGGGGTATCAGACCTACAGACGTGGATTTTTTAAAGATTATTTTCAAAGGACTATCAGAGCAATAAACGTGGATTTTTTTTTTTGGTTTTTCAAAGGATAAGCAGATCAAATGTAGTGGCTTTTTTGAAGGTAAATTTTTTAAGGAGCTTAAGAAATTTCTGAGCTATAGACCGTTTTAAGGAAAATTTTTTTTTCATAGGACTATCTGAGCTACAGGCCATTTTTTAGAAAACATTTTTCAAAGGACTATCACATGCATGGTTGTGGATTTTTGAAGAAAAATGTTCTAAGGACCATCAGAGCTATAGGTATGGATTTTTTGATGAATATTTTCAAAGAACTAGTAGAGCTAAAGGCGATAAAGCTATAGGAGTGGTTTTTTTATACTTTTAGTGTGTTATCGGAGCTATAGGAGAGGATTTTTCAAAGAATATTTTTGAATTTCTTAAATTATATTTTTGTAAGTGTTTTAGAGCTCCCTTGACCCACTGTACGTTTCATCAATAGAAGGGCATCTGTTGGAGTGAATGGTTGATGGTGGATTTATGAATAACTGCTGGTTTTACTGGATGTTGCAGTTACACTCCATGTAACTTTGAATGTTTGCCCACGACTACGTTTCTACAACTTAATTCATGACGATTTTTCTTATTTTTCAATGGTTTCCTCTTCGTTGGATGGTTGCTGGAATAGTTGTTTCTTTGGTTTGGAATGAATTGGATTGGCTTTGGGGTTTTGGTGTTTATTATTATTGTGGGGCTGAATGGATGGTAAATAGAAGAGCGCGCACACACACACACACCCATTCACTTAATAATGGGCAATGGGACAATTGGGTGGTAATTGTGCGGGCGGATGAAACAAAAACAACAACAACAGTACCATATGTTTGCCCACAATAAGTAAATAGAAAAAAATAATAAATAAATGGAAATCTATGGAGTTCTTAAGGTAAGGCCTAGCCAGCCAACCTTACAATTGAATGGGAATAAGAGAAGCCAACGATGTTTAGACTCCAGGCAATATGCACTCACACGCACACCCACACATCTCATACACATATAGTCTACTTAGCCAGTGACCTATATTTAAATATATACTCGTACATTTAATATGTTATCGTTTGGACCCATCGACCATAGCATGTTCGCATTTTGTCGGTGCAATACCACTCTTAGCCCTTAGTCTTTCAATTTAGTCCGTTCATTCACATGCCAACTAAATCACTTTGTATTTTTCCCCATTTTAAGTATATTTGTAGACAAACAAATAGGGAAGTGAATAAGATCTGGGAAATGTAAACAGAAATAAAAGAATTGAAATAAAGAAAAAAAAACAATTAATAATAAAAGGGGAGGTAGAATTGTAAAAAAAATCTATTAGTTTTTTCCACTTTACAAAAATTATAAAAAAAAAATAATAATAGGAGCCATTAACGGCATGTGAAATGTGGGGATTGAAATAAATAAATATTTATTTTTAATAAATATGGAGGGTGGTATTGAAAGCAAGGTGAATTTACATTTAAAAAAATATATATATTTTCACAAAGACTATCAAAGTCAGAGAAGAGGAGTTTTTAAAGAGTATATTTCAAAGAACTCGCAGAACTATAGGCGTGGATCTTTTTTAAGGATTTTTTTCAGAATATTTTTCAAAGGACTATCAGAGCCATAGGCGTGGATTTTTTAAAGAATGCTTTTCAAAGGACTATCGAGCCATAGGCGTGGATTCTTTTAAAGAATATTTTTCAAAGGACTATCGAGCCATAGGCGTGGATTTTTTAAAGAAAATTTTTAAAGGACTATCGAGCCATAGGCGTGGATTTTTTAAAGAAAATTTTTAAAGGACTATCGAGCCATTGGCGTGGATTTTTTTAAAGAATATTTTTCAAAGGACTATTGAGCCATAGGCGTGGATTTTTTAAAGAATATTTTTCAAAGGACTATAGAGCCATAGGCGTGGATTTTTTAAAGGATATTTTTCAAAGGACTATCGAGCCATAGGCGTGGATTTTTTAAAGAATATTTTTCAAAGGACTATCGAGCCATAGGCGTGGATTTTTTAAAGAATATTTTTCAAAGGACTATCAGAACAATAGTCGTGAATTTTTAAAAGACTTTCATAGCAATAGGATTTTTTAAAGGACTATCAGAGCAATATGCGTGAATTTTTTAAAGGACTATCAGAGCAATAGGCGTGGATATTTAAAAGGACTATCAGAGCAATAGGCGTGGATATTTAAAATGACTATCAGAGCAATAGTCGTGAATTTTTTAAAGGACTATCAGAGCAATAGGCGTGGATATTTAAAAGGACTATCAGAGCAATAGGCGATTTTTTAAAAAATATTTTTCAAACGACTATCAGAACCATAGGCGTGGATTTTTAAATGACTATCAGAGCAATAGGTTATTTTTTATAAAATATTTTTCAAACGACTATCAGAGCGTGCATTTATTATGGATTTTTAAAGGATATTTTTCAGAGGGCTATCAGAGCGTGGATTATTTTTCAAAGGACTATCAGATCTATGGGCGTGTATTTTTCAAATCACTATCATTTATAGGACTTTTAGAGCTGTGGGCATGTTTTTTTATTTTAAATGATTTTTTTTCAAAGGACTATCAGAGCTATATGCGTGGATTTTTTAAAGGATATTTTTCAAAGGACTATTACTAAATTCTATATAAGGTAATAGCGGATTTTTTAATGTGTTTTACATGGAGGATATAACTGCTAAGTTTATAATTTTTATTCATAAAAGTTCACCTTAATTTCTCCTTCAACTCGTCTATAATGTTTTCCTCTAGCTAATCTTTAATACCTTCAGTTTATGAAAGAACATGCTTCACATCGTCTATGAAAAAATTCCCTTCAGCTCTTCTACGATAGACTGCTTTCAGTTCGCCTATGAACGACTCCCTGATTCAGCTCTTGTGTAAAAAGCTCCCTTCAACTCGACTATAAAAGACTCACTTCAGCTCGTCTATAAAGATTTTCTACGTCAAATCGTCTATGAAAGACATCCTCCCTTCAGCTCGTCTATGAAAGACTTCCTGCAAATCGTCTATAAAAGACTCCCTTCATCTCGTCTATGAAAGACTTCCTTCAAGTCGCCTATAAAAGACTCCCTTCAGCTTGTCTATGAAAGTCTCCCTATAGCTCCTCTATAAAGACTCCCTACTTCAACTCATTTATGAAAAACTCCCTGCTTCAGCTCGTCTATGAAAATCTCGTTTTTAAAAGACTCCCTTCAGCTCGTCTATGAAAGACTCCCTTCAGTTCGTCTATGAAAGACTTCCTCCAGTTCGTCTATGAAATGCTCCCTTCAGCTGGTCTATTAAAGACTTCCTTCAGGTCGTCTATTAAAGTCTCCCTATAGCTCCTCTATAAAGACTCCCTACTTCAACTCATTTATGAAAAACTCCCTGCTTCAGCTCGTCTATGAAAATCTCGTTTTTGAAAGACTCCCTTCAGCTCGTCTATGAAAGACTCCCTTCAGATCGTCTATGGAAGACTTCCTCCAGTTCGTCTATGGAATGCTCCCTTCAGCGCGTCCATAAAAACTCCATTCAGTTCGTCTATCAAAGTCTATATTCAGTTCATCTTTGAAAGGCTTCTTTCAGTTTATCTTTGAAAGGTTCCCTTTAAGCTCATCTGTTAAAGCCTCCCTTTAGCTCGTCTATAAAGACTCCCTATTTCAGCTCGTCTATGAAAAACACCCTTAAGCTAGTCTAGTTCGTCTATCTAGTTCGTCTAGTCCAGTTCGTCTATGGAATGCTCCCTTCAGCGCGTCCATAAAGAATCCATTCAGTTCGTCTATCAAAGTCTATATTCAGTTCATCTTTGAAAGGCTTCTTTCAGTTTATCTTTGAAAGTTCCCCTTTAAGCTCATCTGTGAGAGCCTCCCTTTAGCTCGTCTATAAAGACTCCCTATTTCAGCTCGTCTATGAAATACCCCCTTAAGCTAGTATACGAAAGACTCCCTACTTCGCAACAAAAACAAGCAGGAACATTTGTGGAAAACTTCTGAATTATCAGTTATCAAAATTTCCTTTATATTTTCTTTTTATATTAATTTATTTTTATTTTATACATTTCAAAATCCGTATCCCGCCATTTTCATTTCAAACTGGTATTTCAAGATTCCATATAACTCTAATTATCATAACTTCTGAATAAAGTTCACGTCTTCTGTTTCATCCCATATCGGTCTTCTGTGTGTGTGTGTGTTTGTTCCACAAGACACACATAGGGAAATCTATGTATTTTCCGCATAATCGTTGTGACCCAAATGACAAAAAGGCAATGCAAAGAACAAACGCAACAGACGACAGAACTGGACTGGTGGCATTTACGCTTAGATATTTATTGCGTGCAGTTCGACAAACATTGGCAAAGTAAATATTTGCCATTGCAAGGCAATAAGAGCGTCCAGCAACACAATATACCCCAACAACTGTTTTTGTAATCAGCTTGGAATTGTTTTACTTGGCTTTGTTTGTTTGTCTGTCTATTTCTGCAATTCCTCAGCGTCTTACACGATGCAACCATCGTGCTCTAGCTATCATAATCATAATTCTTTTAACATTTTTCCGTCACTTTTTTACAGATAATGATGTTGACTCCGTAGTGACTGGATCTCAGACAACAACAATTGTTATGACATCGACACAACAGCAGCAGCGACAGTCACATCCCCAGCTACAACAAATGGTGAACCATCAAATGTTAGAATCGCAATGTTCCACAAATAGTACAACTTCCATACAAACCGTTCTACAGCAATCTGTCATTTACAATAACAACAGTAGTGGCAGTGGCTGTGGCGGTGGAGGTAGTGCATCAGCAACAACAACACCAAAACATAACGGCAACACTATCTCTATGCTCCAACAACAGTCCATCATCAGTACCAACTCCAATTCGTCGATTAATTCACAGACTATTTCTTATGCCACCGAGGCGCTGCCGGGCATTTTACGTCACGTTTCAGGCAGTGTAAATTCACTGCTGGAACACATAGCCCCGGCGACAATGAGCAGTGAGGGTGTCTTGAATATTGGCGATGTAGCGGATCTATTACATCCCCAGCATGCCATTATAACAGGTGAGTGGGAAGAAGCTTCGTGTTTTTTGTTTCGATATTAATTATGGTTTTTCGTTTTGTTTTTATAGGTGGTCGTTCCCAGGAAGGTTGTCCCCTCATCATATTTCCCGATAATAATAATTTCAATACACTGGAAGAGGTTGATTATCAAAAATTAATATTATATCTGACTTCAGTGCCATCGTAAGTATTATGTAAAAGAATTGCAATTGGCCACGAAGGTGGGGACTACAGTAGAAGATTAAGCAGTGCATTATTTATAGAAGGTATTTAGATGTTTTCTAGCCATAAAAGAGGTTCAGAAGATCATCTAAAAAGGATATTCTATGTAAAGGTACAAACAACGATTTATTGCAATAGAAGAGTGTCTTAAGATCTTCTATCAATATCAGAGCTCCAGAAGATTCCCTATCAATACGAGGACTTTAAGAAGACTTCCATCCTTTGAAGTGCTTCGGAATGTTTTCTAGCTTCAGAGCGGCTTCATAAGAATCTTTCATATACCTTGGGGTGTTCGTATAGCTGTTTATCAGTTCCCTTCTCTTTAACAATATTTTCAGGCCTTCTAGAAAAACGAAAAGGTTTTCTACTGAACAATGTTCTGTTTCCAGAGCTTTCTAAAGTAGGTCCCACTGGCTCCCACTAGATTCCCTTCAGCTCGTCTATGAAAGACTCCCTTCAACTCGTCTATGAAAGACTCCCTTCAGCTCGTCTATGAAAGACTCCCTTCAGCTCGTCTATGAAAGACTCCCTTCAGCTCGTCTATGAAAGACTCCCTTCAGATCGTCTACACAGACTTCCACCAACTCCTCTAAAAAGGTTCCCTTCAGCCCGTCTATGAAAAACTCCCATCTTCTACAAAAGACTCCCTTCCGCTCGTCAATAAGAGCTTCCCTTCTTCTAAGAAAGACTCCCAGATTTTGATCATCTATGAATTCCCTTGCTCTGTCGGACTCATATGTCTTAGACTCTTGTCTAAAAGATATAGGTAACGACATGTGCTTATATCAGAGATATGGATCCCGACAGGATCTCAGAAATAATGATAGATATAACGGTCCTATCTGTCTCTATTCCATTCTTGGCAGATACTTATCTCAGAGATAATTGTCCGGACAGGCATTTATAAGAGATAATGATCCTGACAAGCTGTTATTTCAAAGATAGAGGGCCTATCAGACACCTATGTTATCTATATAATGGTCCTGAGAGACATATATCAGAGATAATGTTCCCGATGGGTTCTTATCACAGAGGTGATGGTCCTGACAGACTCATATCTCGGAGATAATGTTCCTGACAATTTATTATCTAAGATATATGGTTAAAGACAGGCCCTTATCTCAGATCTAATCTAATAGCTAATAGTCTTCTTATCACAGAGATAATTTATCTCAGAGATGATGATCCTGACATGATGTTATATCAAAGATAGTGGTACTCTCAGACTGTTATCTTAGCTATATAATTGTCCTGGCAGACATATATCGGAGATATTTGGTTCTTATCACGGAAATAATGGTTCTGACTAACTCAAACATTGGAACATTGGCAACGGCAGGTTCTTATCGCAGAAATATAGATCCCGATAGGCTCTTAGATAAGAGTCGGTCAGGACTCTTATCTAAGATAAAATGAGCTTGACACACTTTCATCTCAAAGATAAAGACACTAACTTAATAATGGTCCGATCATATTCTTATCTCAGATATCATTTTCCCAGAAAGGTTCTAATCTGACTTATAGTGATCCTATCTGGCTGTTATCTATGAAATAATGTTTCTGAAATGCTATTATCTCAAAGATAATGGAATTTATAAAGTCTTCTTTGGAGATAATGCCCATAGCAGAATCTTATCTCACAGATAATGATCTCTTATATTCGATATAATGGTTCTGTTGCAATATCCTCTCAGAGGAAATATTTGTGGCAGTCCTGTAATGGTTCTGACGATTTTTCATCTCAGTTATAATTATTCTGGCTGCTAATGGTTTTCTGTCCAGAGGACCTTATTTATAAAGTGATGAATTCCTTCTTTAGCTCCCCTTAAAAGATGAACGCTCTACTCCGTTTATTTATCCATCGTTTCTTCCCTCCATTTCCAGATTACAAGATGCCGATTTGGGTTTTCATTTAATTATCGATAGGCGAAAAGATAAATGGAATTCCGTTAAGACAGTTCTGCAAAGGATATCGGTAAGTAAACATTTGTAGTACATCTTCCAACATTTCCCCTAATATTCACTTCTCTCTCCCTCTCTTCCGCCTAGATCTACTTTCCCGGCATTATACATGTTGTCTATGTGTTACGGCCATCGGGTCTCTTTCAAAAGGCCATCTCTGAAGTCAGTACAAAATTTTCCAAAGATGAATATCGTTTTCGTTTGGTTATCTGTTCGGCACTGAGTGATCTACATGAATATATTGAACAGAGTCAACTGACAGCAGATATGGGTGGATCTCTGATATATTCACATCATGAGTGGATACAACAAAGAATAGTAAGATAAAAAAAAAACAATTTTGTTGTTGTTTATTTTATTTCTTATTTATTTGTTTTATTACTTTTGTAGTCCCTTGAAAAATTCTCCAGTTTAACGCATCAAGTCTCGGCGGAATTGGACATTTTCATACAGGCCATACACGATACAGAATTTCCGAATTCTGTTGAAGCCACCCAAAAGCTGTTAGATGATCAGGGAGCGGATTATCAAAGATTAAAGGTAGGATATTTCAAATATGATTTAATGGTAGTCCCAATAATTGTTTTTTTTATATAAATTCAAGGATGAAATCCTAGCGGCCGCCAAACATGGTGAAACTTTGCTCAATAACATTAAATCGAATGAAGAAATCAAGGAATTCTCAGAACGTACCGGCAATGTTAGCTCCATAGAACGGTAAGTCGGAATTTGAAAAAACAGAAAATTCAAGCTTTTTATGAATTTATTTTCCAAAAAGCTTTTTTCTAATATATAAATATTTAAACAATGATGATAACCCCTTCTAACCCTGAGACTAATTTTCAACTTAAAATCCTAACCCCCCACCCACACAATAAATATGAATTCCTTAATGAAACTAAAACCCCTAACCGCCATGTTTACTAATCGCCCCCAACCCCTTTGTCTTTGTATTAAAATAATGGTTTTAGTTTCTTTTCTATACTATATTTTTTCTAACCTCTTAAAAAAAACAACTATTCTTTAATCTGTTTAAATGTTTATTATAATTAAATTCAGTTCTAGCTCTGCACTGGTTTTGTAAAAAAAATATAAAACTAAAAACGATATGTTTTTGTAATATTTATTTTAAAAAAATCAAATTTAACTGCCAAATTATTTTAATTTTAAATCCAAATGGAATCGGTAAAAGATCGTCTCGGTTTTGTAAAATCCAGTTTTTAAATTCATTTCGTTTACGTATTTCATTTCTAATTTCATTTCAAGCCACAATAGTTGTCATTTGTTTGACATGATTTTTTTCATAATGTCATTCCCGATGTTTGTGTTTTGTAGATTTTAGGCGATAGGAAATGTCATAGACGATCAGCAAATTTTCCTATAGTAAAACAAAAGACCCTTTATAGAAGACCAAGAAGTCTTCTCATAGAAAACCAAGAGTTCTTTTAATAGAAGATCAATAGGTCTTCTCATATAAGGTTAAGCGGTCTTCTCATAAAAGGCCGAAAGGTCTTCTTTTAGATGACCAACTGGTCATCTCAAAGAAGACCAAGAGGTATTCCTTAGAATACCAGGTGGATTTTCATTAGAATACCCGAAAGTCTCCCTTTCTAAAACCAGAAAGTCTTTCTGGGATGTCTCTATTTGGAAGTATATGAGATCTTCTGTTCGAATAGCAGCATAACTTGTTTAGAGGTCCAAAAAGTCTTCGTTTTAGAATACTAGAAGGTCTCTCTGTGGAAGAACGAGGGTCTCCTTTTAAAAAAAACCGAAGACTTCCTGCAGAATAATAGACTAGAAACTGTTCCTATTCGTACGTCCTTTTATCTCAAAGATAATGTTCGTATAAGTATTCAGTGGTCAATGTTCTGAGTTCAATGGTCCTGATGATCTCTGATTTCAAATGTAATGGTTCTGATTCTGATTCTTCTCTCAGAAATAATGAGCACAAGATAGTGGAGATATTTGTCTCTAATCTCTGAGATAATTGCCCTATAATCTCATAAATAATTAAACAGACGATCTCTTATATCAGAGATGGTCATGATGTCCTCTTTATTTACTTTTTCCAACATTCCCAACTCCATATTTCTCAACTCCTTATGGATCGTGGGGAGACCACTCTTATATGTAGGGATCGCGTACTCGCCATGATCCGTGTCCCAGAGGTAATGTGTCTTATATTGTAAATAATGGACCTAAAAGCTACTGACGACCTCCTATCCTATAGATAATTGTCCTGACATTTTCTTATCTCAAAGATAATGATCCCTTATTTCAGAGATAAAGGTCCTGATGGTTCTGAATTCATCGAAGATGGTACTAACGGTCTTTTATCTCAGAGATAATGGTACTGTAGGTTTCTTGTGTCAGTAATAACGGTCCTCCCGGCCTCAGGCAAAATGGTCCTTCAATTTTTAGATATATTAAGCCTCTGATTTCATCGATAAAGGCCCTGATCTCATCGATAAAGGTCCTGACGGACTCTTATCATCGGACTCATCGAAAAAAGTTCCTGATGGCCTATTATCTCATAGATAATGGTTCTGTTGGTCTCTCATCCCAGGGATAATGGCCCTGACGGCTTCTTATCTGAATTATAAGTTCCCTTTATTTCATAGATACGGTTCTGACGACCTGTGATCTTATCGAAAAAGGTACTGATGGTATTTTATCATAGAGATAATTCTCCTGTCGGTTTCTTATCTCAGCGCTAATGGTCCTCTCGGCTACCTATCTAAGGCAAAATGGTCCTTCATTTTTGAGATATTGGTATTACAGCCTGATTTCATCGATAAAGGTCTTGACGGTTCTGATCTCATCAATAAAGGTACTGACGGACTCTTATTTTATCTTATCATCTGATGGCCTATTATCTCTTAGATAATGTTTCTGTCGGCATATTATCCGAGAGATAATGGTATCTTCTTTCAAAGATAATGACACTATATATCCATATATCCATAAAGGTCCTGACGGTTGTGATCCTATTGATAAAGGTTCTGACGACCTCAGAGATAATGTTTCTAATGGCCACTTATCTCGGGATAATGTCCCAATGGCTTCTTATCTCAAAGGTAATGACTCTCTATATCAGAGATAATATTTCTAACGTCCTCCGATCTCATCGATAAATGGCCTGACGGCATCTTATCTCAGCGCTAATGGTCCTCCCAGCCTCCTATCTCAGAGAAAATACTTCTGACGGCTTCTGATATCAGAAATTTTTAGACCAGGTGCTCACATATCTCAGAGGCATTGACTTGGTGGATGCATATTTGGCCTCCAAAGGGACTCAGCCTTGGTTTCCAATTCATTTTATTTTTCAAATATCTTCTTCTTTAAAATCGTTGGCATTCTTTTCAATTTGTTTTGTAGTTAACTAATTAATTAATCTTACATTTAATTTTCATAGAATTAAATTCGTCTTCTTCTAAGTTTTGTTCGTAGTATCAGAGTCAGTAGTTCGTTCGTTTCGTGTCAGTGTTTGCATGTTTGTTCATTTGTAATTGTTCAAAGAATAAAAAAATAAATACCATGGAGATAAATTCCCAACACACAACTCTACACATTTGCCTTCAATTACACCTCGATCACCCAAGACACAAACCAAACATACACAAAATACACCACACAATAAATGTTCACCTCTTGTTGTTTTTTTCTAATCACACCTCACAATTTATGCACACACACACACACCCACCCAACATTTTTGATCACTTATTTTCATCTATTAACAACCGCCTGAAAGTATACTATGAAATATCATGTACTATTAAATGATTATGGGAAAAATTGTCCAGACATGGGGGATGTTTTGTTCGTAACCAAAAAAAGAATTGTGTGATACCTCGCATTTAATATTCTCAGAGATAGTCGTCCTGACGAACTATTTTCTAAAAGATGGTGATGTTCCTGATGATCTATCATATAAGAGATAATGCTTCTGGTGGTCTATTGCCTCACAGATAAATTTCGGACGGGCTATTATCTCGGATGCAATGCTTCTGATGAGATATAATTGGTAAATTATCTCAAACATAATGTCCCTGATGGACTTTTATCTATGTGATAATGGTCCTCGCGTCCTATTATTTCAGAGATGATGCTGCTGGCGGATTATTATCCCAGAAATAATGCTCAGCATACTATTATAATCCAAAGAAAACTCTCTCCCCTCCATTATGTAAAGATTAATTCTTCTCACGATATTTTATCTAATTTTCAGTACTCCTGTCAGTTTATTATCTCAAAGATAATGCTTATTGTATTCTAAAAATCTTAGTCCTGACGGGCTTTCATCACATATATGATATTATGTTATAGATAATTTTACTGGCAGTATACAATGGACATCACGGACTGTAATGGTCCTGACGGCCTATTATCTCTGAGATAATGGTCCTGACGGTCTGATATCTCTGACATAATGATACTGACTGCCTATTATCTCTAAGATAAATGTCCCCACTGCCTATTATCTCTGAGATAGTGGTCCTGACGGCCTATTATCTCTGAGATAATGGTCCTGACGGCCTATTATCTCTGAGATAATGGTCCTGACGGCCTAATATCTCTGAGATAATGGTCCTGACAGCCTATTATCCTTGTGATAATGGTCTTGACGGTCTATTAATTCTATGGTAATGGTCCTGAAGGCATATTATCTCTGAGATAATGACCCCGACGACCTACTATATCTGAGATAATGGTCCTGACAGTATGTTATCTCTAAGATAATGATTTAAACGGTCTATTATCTCTGAGATAATGGTCCTGACAGTCTATTATCTGTGAGATAATAATCCTGACGGCCTATCATCTGTGAGATAATAATCCTGTCGGCCTATTATCTTTGAGATAATAATCCTGTCGGCCTATTATCTCTGAGATATTATCTCTAAGATAATGGTCCTGACGGTCTATTATCTCTCAGATAATGGTCCTGACGGTCTATTACCTTTGATATAATGGTCCTGACGGTCGAGTATCTCTGAGATAATGGTCCTGACGGCCTATTATCTCTTAGATAATGGTGCTGGCGACCTATTGTATCTGACATGACAGTCCCGACGGTCTATTATTACTGAGATAATGGTGCTGACGGCCTATTATCTTTGAGATAATTGCCTATTTTTTCCGAGATAATGGTCCTGACAGCCTATTATCTCTGAGATAAAGGTTCTGACGACCTATTTTCTCTGAGATAATTATCCTGACGGCGATGTAGTTTCATTATCTCAAAGATAATTCATCTCAGGGCCTATTAATTAAGTGGCAATGCTATCGGTAATAATTCCTCGGTATCTGAAATAATTCCTCTTCTGTTATTCACTTTTGATAAAATACTCTATCCTTGGGCTTTTATCAACGACAAAATTCTCCTTACGTTCATTTATCTCAAAGATAATCATGCATTATGTATAATATCACCCCATTTAGGCCTTAACTCACTTTTTACTTTCTGACACTTTCATCACATCATACACCAGATAAGAGACTTAACAATAACTTCTCATTTATACTCGTCATGCTTCATTTTTTCTCTCTATCACACTATATCTCTCACACTTTCTCTATCTCTGCCTCTTTCTCTCTTTCTCTTGTTGCAATTACAATAACAAAATGTACATACAAATGTCAATGTTTACATCATTCCATTGATCATCCAAAACAATTTTTGTGTGTCTCTCTTTTTCTATCAAAACTGTCTCTCTCTCTCTAAAAATGGCGCAATGCTCTATCACACATCTCACTTGACAATACGTGTGCGTGTTTGTTTTTGTGTAATTCATAATATGACAAACCAAACCGAACTGAACTATCCGATCGATCATGAAAACCAAACATGCGAAAACTTTCATCCACTCTCTTATTCACAAAACAAAAAACTGAACTGAATGCGATACATTTTTAAAAATATTACGCGATTCTTTGCGAACATTGAAAACTCGATGAGTAACAATGCAGATCCAGTGCAGGGCAAACATATCCTCAACAACAACAACTAATTAAACGACATCAAATTATTTATCATCAACAATACAAATTGAAAAAACCCCAATACTATGATGACTGTCGGGATTATCGTAGACTTCTGGTGCAGCTGGAAGAGACGGAGCGACGTTTCGATGAATTCTGGCGCACCCACAGTAACCGATTGCAGCAGTGTTTGGAGCTGAGGAAATTTGAACAGAGTTTTCGTGAATTACAGGTGAGTTGTAAGGAAATAGATTTATATCATTTTATCTTAAACTAAAATGTATTGTCTTTGTTCCAGATCTGCTTTGATACCCACATGAACAAGATATCGGAAATGACGGAAATTGGCGAAAGTGTTGAGCGTGTCGACAGTCTTATCGATGAAACTAAAGAATTCCAAAATCAGTGTTCCGCTGACATTGAAAAAGCCTCCGAAGTAATTGCTGCTGGTCAACAACTAATTGGGTCACGTGGTGTTTACCCCTGGGAAATTGTCCAGCCCAAATGTGATGAACTGCAAAGAATGTGTGATATTATCACGGAAAAATTACAAAAGCGTTTGGAGATTTTAAATAAAAATCGTGAATTAATGGAGAGAGTTGAAAAGGTAAGGGGATGGCATACGAAATTTGATCAAGATTTAATTACCGGTGGTGTCCTTCTAGGCTAATGAATGGTGTGCTAACGGCGTTGAGCTACTCACCAACCAGCGCATTGAAAAATGTTCAACATCCCCGGAATTGGCTGAACAAAGTCTCCACGAGATACAGGCATTCATTGCCTCCGCATCGGAATTCAAATTATCTAGTCCTAGTGAATTTAAAAAGATCTTCTTAGAAAGTACTACACCAGAAACCAAAGCTTTAGTATCCCAGGTAAGAAAAAGGAAACTAATATAAGTGAAATTATGTAGAATAATGGAATTTTTTCTATGAAAACTCCGAAAAACTTGAATTGAGGCAGTACTATATCAGAGATAATGATCCAGAAGGCCAATTATCTTAGAGATAATTACACTGTCGGAATACTAATTTAAAATAACGGTCCTGTTAGACTTTTACTTTAAGATAATGGTGCGTCATTATCAGGACCTGACGGACTATTATCTTAAAGATACTGGTAATAAGGGACTAGTATCTTAAAGATAATGGTCCTGACGGACTATTATCTTAAAGATAATGGTTCTGACGGAATATAATCTTAAAGATAATGGTCCTGATGGATTATTATCTTAGGGATAATGATCCTGACGGATTATTATCTTAAAAATAATGGTAGTGGCGGACTATTATCTTAAAGATAAAGGTGCTCGAATATAATGGTCTTGATGGACTATTACCTTAAAGATAATGGTCCTGGTGGACCATTACTATTACTTAAAGATAATGTAAAGATAAATGGTGACGCACTATTATCTTAAAGACGGACTATTATCGTAAAGATAAAATGTCGAACCACTATTATCGTAAAGATAATTTTTCCGCCAGGGTATGCAATTAAAGATAATGACGTGATGAACTATTACCTTGTATATAATGACCCTGACGGCCTATTACATTTGAGATAATTGTCCTGAAGGCCTATTATTTTGTAGATAATGACCCTTACGGCTATTTCCTCTGATCCTGAAGGCCTATTATATTTGAGATAATAATCCTGAAGACCTATTATCTCCGAGATAATAAACCTGACGGTCTTCTATCTTTGAGATAATGGTCCTGAAGGTCTCCGATATAATGGTCCTGACAACGTCTTATCTCTGAAATAGTGGTCATTACGGCCTATTATCTCTGAGATAATGGTCTTGACGGCCTATTATCTCTGAGATAATGGCCCTGACGGCTTATTACCTTTGAGATAATAGTCCTGAAGGCCTATTATTTTGTAGATAATGACCCTTACGGCCTATTATCTCTGAGATAATGGTCCTGACGGCCTACTAATTTTGAGATAATAATCCTGAAGGCCTATTATATTTCATATAATAATTCTGAAGACCTATTATCTCCGAGATAATGACCCTGACGGCCTACTATCATTGAGATAATGGTCCTGAAGGCCTATTATTTCTAATAGCATGACCCCGAGATTACCCCTATTATCTCCGAGATAATGATCCTGACGGCCTATTATCTCCGAGATAATGGTTCTGAAGGCCTATTATCTCTAATAGCATGACCCCGACGGCCTATTATCTCCGAGATAATGATCCTGACAGCCTACTATCTTTGAGATAATGGCCCTGACGGCCTATTATCTTGTAGATAATGACCCTTACAGCCTATCATCTTTTAGATGATGGTCCTGAAGGTCTATTATCTCTGAGATAATGGTTCTGAACGCCTATTATCACAGAGATAATGATCCTGACGGCCTATTATTTTGTAGATAATGATCCTGACGGTCTATTATCTTTGAGAGAAATAGTCTCTGATATAATAGTTCTGACGGTTTTTTTATGGTACTGACGGCCTTATCTCTAAAATAATGGTCCAGACGGTCTATTATCTCTGAGATAATGGTCCTGACGACCTTATATCTAAGATAATGGTCCAGACGGCCTATTATCTTGTAGATAATGATCCAGATGGCCCATTACATTTGAGATATTGTTCGTAAGGGCCTATTATGCTGTAGATAATGGTTCTGACGGCCTATTATCTTATAGATAATGATCCTGAGGGTCTATTATCTTTGAGATAATGATTCTGACGGTCTAATATATTTGAGTCAATGGTCCGGGTTCTCCTTAAATAAAGGTCGAATAAAATCACACTCTGAATATATTTGCCACATTTCTTGTGACGTCTCACAAACAGCCTTTTCTCCCAAGCCATTAGGCAGCCCCTTGCACCATCCAAGGGTTAATGAGTTTATTTACACCCGCAGTTTTATTTAAAATGATAAGCGCGGACTAGTCGCCAGCTAATTTAAAAACACACACACACACATACCATTCACCCTATCAGCCCAGCTCAGTACACACAAAGCCAAACACACTCCCACCGAGTGTGAAGGGAACATAAGTTTATGTTTTTATTTCACTACTTATGTATGTACCGCCTAGTTGACCTACGAAAAACAAAATTGAGACAGATTTCTCCATCAGATGATTCTGTAAATGATTCGACTAAAATTTAAGATCGCAATGAAAATGCGGCGGGCGGCTAGACATTGAATTGCGATTCCTTTACATACTACGAGCTGAGCTGACATTTCAAAATAAATTATTTTAGATTTGTGGCTTATATTACAATTTTTTGGATTATTATTCTTACTGGTTTTGTTGTGTTCTCTCTTGTTTTGTTTTAATTATTTGTTTTCTTGCTGTTTACACCGAGAACGGTTGTAAAGAAGAAGAAAATAAAGTGGAAATAAAAAAATATTATTTTTTTTTTTTAATTTTCCTTGAATGCTGATTGTGGTGTCGGGATCAGGCTGTTTCTGTTTCGTTTTTATTTATTTTTGTTTATGCCTGGATGCTGCTTGCCTGCCATTGTATGTGTGCGGTTGATTTTGTGTTTGCAACTGAGTCATGCCCATATGTGGGGGAGATTTTGTATGCCTTCGTCATTTAAAAACATTTATTTAGTTTAGAATCAACCTTTGATGAATACGTCGTTGTTGTTATTGTAACATACTATACTTAAAATTTTTCGTGGAAAATGTTAATCGACGATCTTAATATTTTCGTGAACGCGAGTTTGATATTGATACCATGAAAGATCAAAGCCTTCAAATCAAAAGTGATTAATTAAATAAAAAAAGAAAAAAATATTTTATTATTTTTGAAAAAAATATTGTATTTTTCTTGCGGTTATTTTGGTGATCGTGTGTAAAATGTTCATCTCATATCTCAATGAGGATACCGAACGCCGCCGTTGGTCATGCCCAATACCAGTCATTAGAAATGTTACTCATAGTGGTGTTGATTTTCAAGTGAGTGCAGTAATTTATCAAGTTTAACGCAGTTTTTTTAAATTCAGCAAAATATAAAGTTTACATATCCTGAATAAATATTAAAGAGAAATGAATATAGAATTGAAATGATAATATGTGTTATATATTTATAAAATTATAATAAACGTCGGGCGCCATCCAAGATATCTTCATTAATGACCAACTTGAACTTCTTTTTATAGTGTGCTGTTGTATGGCGCCCAACAAATTTGATAAAATTGAATCACAATTTATTGGATTTTTTATTTTTGTTGTTGTGTCTCATTGAAGTATCTAGAAATTTCGGTCGAAATTATGTGCAAAAAAGACTGAAATATTGTTATATATCCATCGAAAAGTTTACTCAGTTGAATTGAAGTTATTTTCGAATAAATTAAATTAATGTACTGATAATTACTTAGAGGAGCTTATATTTCGGATAAATATTCTTGGCGAATATCAGATGATGGTATTGATAAACTCTTATGTTGGAAATACAGGACCTGTCGATATACTTTCTACAAAATACATGTCCTACATTTATCTCAAAAATCATGGTCTTGTATAACTTTTAAAGATAATATTATTGATAATGGTTTTGACGGACTATTATCTTAAAGATAACGGTCCTGACGGACTATTATCTTAAAGATAACGGTCCTGACGGACTATTATCTTAAAGATAACGGTCCTGACGGACTATTATCTTAAAGATAACGGTCCTGACGGACTATTATCTTAAAGATAACGGTCCTGACGGACTATTATCTTAAAGATAACGGTCCTGACGGACTATTATCTTAAAGATAACGGTCCTGACGGACTATTATCTTAAAGATAACGGTCCTGACGGACTATTATCTTAAAGATAACGGACTATTATCTTAAAGATAACGGTCCTGACGGACTATTATCTTAAAGATAACGGTCCTGACGGACTATTATCTTAAAGATAACGGTCCTGACGGACTATTATCTTAAAGATAATGCTCCTGAAGGACTATTATCTTAAAGATAATGGTCCTGATGGACTATTATCTTAAAGATAATGCTCCTTACAGACTATTATCTTAAAGATAATGCTCCTGGCGGACTATTATCTTAAAGATAATGGTCCTGATGGACTATTATCTTGAAGATGCTCCTGACGGACTATTATCTCCGAGATAATGATCCTGACGGACTATTATCTTAATGATAATGGTCCTGATGGACTATTATCTTGAAGATAATGGCCTTGACGTCCTGCTATCTTAACGACAATGGTCCTAACGGAATATTATCTTTAAGCTAATGGCCTTGACTGCGTATTATCTTAAATATAATGGCCCTGACGGACTATTATCTTTATGTTAATGGTCCTGACAGAGTAAGGGGATAAATCTCCTGTCGGCCTATTACTCTGAGAGGCTGTCAGGACCGGCCTGACGGTCTATTTTTATAAACATAATGGTTCTGATGTGTTTTTATCTTAACGAAAAAAGAACCTCAACAAATGTATCGGTCTATAAAAGGATCTAAAGATGACTGAGGACTATTATCTTAAAGATGGACTATTATCTTAAAGATAACGATCCTGACGGACTATTACCTTAAAGATAACGGTCCTGACGGACTATTGTCTTAAAGATAACGGTCCTGACGGACTATTGTCTTAAAACTAATGGCCCTGACGGCCTATATCTTAAAGATAATTGTCCGGACGGACTATTATCTTAAAGATAATGTTCCTGACGGACTATTATCTTAAAGATAATGTTCCTGACGGACTATTATCTTAAAGATAATGGTCCTGATGGACTATTATCTTAAAGAGAATCTTCCTGACGGACTATTATCTTAAAGATAATGCTCCTGATGGACTATTATCTTAAAGATAATGCTCCTGATGGACTATTATCTTAAAACTAATGGCCCTATAGTCTTAAAGATAATG